TGGTTTTTCCTATAATACCTGGTGGGCTGGTCTCTAGTCAAAATGCCTGGGCCGATTTTCTGTCCCAGTCTAACCCTTGGCTCGGCATGCAGTGAATTAATCTGAGAGGGTGCAATAAAAAATATTAAAATATATATTCAGGAACTGTCCGCTCAGCGAAGCATCAGCACCGTGGAAGTACATGCCTACATCCATAGACTCGAGACAGAATTCACAATGCATTTTCAGGACTTTCAGGTGTATGGACCAATGTTTTCTTTTCTGATCAAACCAGAAAGGTTTAATGAGCAGCTGGATTTGTCTGGCATTAACTGGCTGCACACAGAGGATATCAAAATGCAGCTGATTGAACTGAAAAGCTTGACTCTGTGAGGGTCAAAGTTTGCAGAACTATGAACGCAGCTGGAATCCATAGCTGTGCGTGTTCATGGAGCTGCATTTTCACCTGCTGGACATCACTACCTGACAAGTTTAACTGTCTTCAGAACATTGCGGATGCCTTATTGACAGTATTTTTCATTGTTATGAGGAGACCATAAATTTGCATTTGCATGTTCTGTTGTATAGCTCTTGTTATGGATAAAAAGTTTTGTTTTTTTGTTTCCAAATAGCTGATAACTATTTGCTTATAGCTGCCAACATCTGCGTACAAATATTATTCTTTAAAGTTGTTCTATATAGTGTTTAACTGTTAATATAGACCATTATTACATTTATTGCTAATGCAATCATATGGCACATTAACTTCTGAGGAAATTTTAGTTGGCACTCATCATCAGAAAGGTTGCCGACCCCTGATAAATTGTATGGTAAAGACCGTACAATAATAGAGAGAAAACCCTGACAATCAGATGTCTGGACACAAAGACTATAATTGGGGATGAGGGGAAAGAGAAGTGAAGGGAGGAAGGAGATAGGATAGCATGAGAGAGAGCCAGAGTTTAAAGCAGTGAGAAACTCCAGGCCTCGAGGGCCGCTGTCCTGCAGCTTTTAGATGTCACCCTGTTTCAAAACACCTGAATCAAATGATTAGTTCATTACCAGGCCTCTGGAGAACTTAAAGATCGTGTGTTTATGTGTTTTTAATGTTTTCAATGGCTTTTAACATAAAGAAATCTCCACAGATAACATCCCAGTCTGGTTACTTGCATCTAACAAATGTGAGCTTCTGTTTTTCTTCCTCTTGTCTCTTTTCCATAGTATTTATTTTCTTCTTCCTCAACAGCTGACGGTCACCAATGTGTGGTTGGTGAATTTGGCGATAGCAGACCTGATCTTCTGCTTCACACGAATCTTCTCTCTCACTCGGCTGTTCTTGTCAGACCACTGGCCTTTTGGCCTCTTCCTCTGCAAGTTCACCGGCTTCTTCAAATACACCAACATGTTCTGCTCTGTCTTCCTGCTGGCTGTGATCAGTCTGGATCGAATGGTCTGCATCTGGTGGCCAGTCTTCACAAGGTGCCGACGCACCCTGTCGGCAGCGAGGGTGGTGGCAGTCTGCGTCTGGATTGCAGCGATCCTCTTCAGCATTCCCTACTTCATCCATCGACAAACTTACATAGACAACAACAACCTGACTAAATGTTCTGTGGACTCGATTGAGAAGGCAGAGGGGTACAACAGCACCAAAGTAGCTCTCTACTCCA